AAAGAAAGAAAGAAAGAAAGAAAGAAAGAAAGAAAGAAAGAAAGAAAAGCGAGGCAATGAATTCTATTTCATATGAGCTGAATTTGAGGCACCAATGGGAAGTGGAAAGATGGCCAGGGGAGGTTTGGAAATGTAACAAAGGAGTTCCGGAGCAAGGAAGGGCCTAGAGATATTGCTTTGGAAGCCAATATGAAAAGTAGTAGAGGTTTCTGGAATAAAGGGATCTACCTACGGAAAACATGAATGAGCAGAAAGGGGAGTTAGAAAGGAACTGAGGAGGTTGAACAGAAACTCCAGTTATAATTTTCCCTACCGTAATCAGTGCCATGGGCCGGCCAGCCATCCCAACCAATCTGTGTTACGTAGATCCCGTCTCCAATGTCAGTGAGGGTATATTACAATGTGTGCGTGTGTGTTAGACCCGTCCACGTTGACAAGGATATGGAGAAAAGGAAACCCTTGTGCACTGTTGGTGGGAATGCAAATGAGTCCAGCCACTACGGAAAACAATGAGGAGGTTTCACAAAAAAATTAAAAATAGAACTACCATATGATCCAGCAATCCCACGTCTAGGCAGGGACTCAAGAGAATTGAAATTGGAATCTCAAAGAGATATTCTCACTCCCTTCTTCCCTGCAGCATTATTTACAGGAGTCAAGATATAGAAACAACCCAGTGTCCATCCATGGTGAATGGGTAAAGAAAATATGGTATATACGTACAAGGGACTATTACTCAGCATCATGAAAAAAGGAAATCCTACATTTACAGCAACTTGGAGAGAATATTATTCTCCTCCCTATTTTATGGAGAGGGAAACTAAGGCAGACTGGGTCCTTTCCCTAGGGGCACACAACTAGGAAATAGTGTCACCTGGATTCCAACCCAAGAGTCTTGAGCATAGGTCACTATGCTATATGGGGAAAATTTCTCAGGCAGGGAACCCGAAGAGCACGATGTCATCAAAGAGGAGAATATGGCTAATGGTGTTCAGCTTAATAAAGGAGTCAATTCAAGAGTCCTGTAGCTTGAAGGTCTCCAATAAACAAGTGACGTATGGAATCTTTAATCAGAAGGCAACATAGAGGTTATCTTGCCTACTCCTGGCATCCCTGGCAGATGCCTACACGTCCCTGGCACAAATGCCTACAGTAATAAAGAGCACGAATTGCCTTTTAATTGAGATATAATTCACATGTCATAAAATCTCCCATTTTAATGTGTACAATTCAGTGTTTCTTCAAATGATATTCACAAGGCAGTTTGTCCAACCATGACCGCTTTTTAGAATTTTGATTTAAAAAAAAAAAAGAATTTTGATTTTAATTCCAGTATAGTCAACATGCAGTGCTAAGTCAGTTTCAGGTGCAGAATATAGTGATTCACAATTATATACATTAGTCAGTGCTCATCATAAGCGACTTAATCCCCTTCACCTGTTCCACCCATCCCCCACCCCCATCCCTCCACCCCCCCTCTGGGGACTATCTGTTCTCTAGAGTTATGAGTCTGTTTCTTGGCTTTTCTCTTTTGTTGTTGCTGTTGTTCACTTATTTTGTTTCTTAAATTCCACATGTGAGTGAAATCATATGGTATTTATCTGTCTTTCTCTTACTGACTTACTTTGCTTGGCATTATACTCTCCGGATCCGTCCATGTTGTTGCAAATGGCAAGGTTTCATTCTTTGTTACGGCTGAGCAATATCCCATTGTATAATACGTATCACATCTTCTGTATCCATCATGTATCGATGAACACTTGGGCTGCTTCCCTGTCTTGGCTACTGTAAATAATGCTGCAATAAACATAGAGGCGCATGAATCCTTTCGAAGTAATGTTTTCATATTCTTTGGGTAAAGACAGAGGGCAGTTCTATTTTTACTTTTTTGAGGAACCTCCCTATTATTTTCCACCGTGACTGAACCGGGCAACCAGGATCACTTTCTAATTCGGGAACATTTTCATCAACCCAAAGACAAACCCCACACTCCTTCCCAGCCACTCCCTATTCCTGTGCCCACTCCCCAACCGCAGCCCCTGACAACCTTAAGTCCACTTTCTGTCTCCTTGAATTTCCCCATTTGGGACTGCTGTGACTTTTTAAGCCTGCCTCTTCCTCCCACTGGTAATACCGTTGTGGCAGTGGGTTGCCCACGTTGACCTATCATGTGCTGTTTGAAAGTTTCCATCCCTCGGTTCGAGGCTGGCTTTCTGGAGTACACGGGGCAAGTCTCTTCTTGGTTCTAAAGCAACATTTCCCGAAGTGTGTGCCCGGGGGGACAGACACCTCTGGGACGCAGAGGTCACGAACCCTGAATCCCACAGTGACAGAGCATCTCCGACACCTTTTCCGATTCCCTCAGTCCTTCTAACACAACCCAG